AATCTCTAGATTAATATAGGTTTATTGTAATAAAGTTTCTACTATGACATTATATTAATAAAAAAAAAAAAAAAAAATTTTATTAGAAAAATTTAAAATTTAAAAAAAGTTGCAGACAAATTTGGCTGCAAAACAATTTAAAGGATAGCTATACTTGTTTGCTGCAGCAAAAAAAAAGGCTCGTGTGTTAACATTTTTATCATCTTCTAAACATTATTAACAAGGTATAGTTTAGTTTATAATTAATTATACTATGTTGGATTTCAAAACAACAATAATTAAATATAGCAAATAAATATATACACTTTGGTCAACATTTCAGTAATATAAAAAATAAGCTACTAATATGAATATGGCTATAAGCAAGTACATATGATTGCAATCATTCATTAATAATAAGACAAAAAAGGTTACAAATAATGATTTTATTAATGAATTGCTTTTTTATAAAAAAGTTTGGGGCTTTGCACATATTGCTATAAACAAATATATGTTATATTATAATAATGAATTTGTTTTATTAATTAAAGATTATTTGAATAAGGTTTGTGATAAAGAGGAAGAATTAATCAGAACACAAAAAAATATAATAAATACTTTGACTAGTTAAAATATTATTAAAGATACTGAAATTAATATGATTTAACTTAAGAATTCTTGAAAAGTAGTTGGTAAAGAAAAGCCAAAAAAAGCAAGTCATTATAATAAGAAAGGATATCATGAAAAATATAATACAGAAAACAAATAAAAAAAAACATGGGCCATACACCTGTGAATTTTGCAAGAAACCAAGCTATAATATTGTGACTTGTCTAAATAAAATATAAGATAAGTATAGTCAAACCTCCCTAAGTGCACTTCTATAAGTGTATACCCTCTATAAATACACTATAAAGTCCGGTTCTAAGCTGGGACCATAGTGTTAAGTGCACACCCTCTATATTCTGCATGTGCATTTGATTTTGTTATTAAGGTACCCTCTGTAAATACACTATCACGTGATTATAGATCGTCTTGACCAATAAAATTTGAGCAATGTAGTTAATACATAATCGAATTTATGCTTTTCAAAATTCGAATAAATGCAGATACTAAATCGGGCATAAATCAAAGTACACAATACTGCAATAATAAAATTAGAACAATAGAGTAATTAAAAATAAAATATACAAGATTAGTTTAATTAAATAAACTACCAGAAATTACATAATTTAATTTGACTTTTTATAAGAATCATCAAATAAACTTTAGTATTGGATCTATATAAAAGGAGAATTAAATAAAAAAAAAAAATTTTACGTTCAATCCTCAAACTATTTGTTTCTGCTATCACTATGGATACTTATCTGAACTGAGTAATCCATCACCATACTTATTTGAAATAAGTAACCTATTGCTATACAAAAAGTGTGGTTTTTCATTATGCCAATTTAGAAGATGCCTGTAAGTTTATTGCCAGTATATAACAAGACCCAATCCCTATCGCTATATACTGTAATAAATCTGGATTGATTAAACTTATATCTTAAAAACTAGCACAAGAAATTTATTCTAACTATAAAAATCTGTTCAATTCATAACCTTTTTGATTAACTCTTTCAATGAACCTTTTAACAATTAAACAAAAAAATCAAAAAAAAAAATGATGGCGTATTTTAATAGTGATTTCTAAATAATTTCAATAAATAAAGCTTTAGCATTCTTCTAAAAAAAAAAAAAAAAAATTTTATATAATATTTTTGGCAATGCCTAAAAGAACAACTCTAACAGATAATCAAAAATTTGAATTCTGTGTCTATGCTTGTAATAACAAAAGAACCTGTCCGGAATACGTAAAGTGGATTGAAAATAAATGGGGATTAAAGTTAATGAGTCTACGATCACTCGAATCTTACAAACTAAGGACCAATGACTTTCAAATGAAATTATAAATCCAGAAGCCAAGTGACATAGAACCATTACTGTACCAGAGCTTGAGCTAGCACTCAAGGAATTCATATTAATCTATCAACACTGCACTATTCTAAGTGATGCCATGATGATTGAAAAAGCAAAATTGTTAGCAGATGAACTTGGAGTCCTTGAAAGCAAGTTACATTTTTCTTCTAGGTGGCTCCAAAAATTTGAAGAGTAAAATGGAATCTGTTAAATAAAGCTTCATGAAGAAGCAGGTTTTGTTAATAAGGATGTTATTACTGAATCTCTACCTTTATTGCAAAGTAAATGTTCTAAATACCCTCTTAACCGCATATATAATATAGACGAAACCAGGCTTTTTTACTAGTAGTTTTTTTTTTTTTGATAAAATTTTTTTTTCTTTTTTTTTTTTTAATAAAAAATTTTCTTTCTAGACTGGAACCGGATCGAACCTTAGCGACTCAACGAATTGCAGGGTGCAAAAAAATAAGGAACGTATTTCTGTGGATTATGTGCGAATGCCGATGGATCTATAAGTTGGCCCTTCTTATAATTGGCAACTATGCCAAACCCCGATGTTTCAAAAATGTGAGAATTAATAACTTGCCCATGACAATAGAAGCAACGCTAAGGCTTGGATGCTTGTGGTTCTTTTTTAAGAGTGGCTTCAGGATTTTGACCACCAAATGTTGCAAAAGCATTTGGGCCAGCATGTTCTTTTACTTCTTGACAATTGTTCTAGTCATAAGTTAGATAGGCTAACCCTCCGGCATGTAGATATACATTTTTTACCTAAAAATACAACTTCTAGGATACAACCCATGGATGCAGGAATTATCATGGCTTTTAAAAGAGCCTATCATCATTTTTATCTTCAGTAAGTTATTGTATTATATATTTTATCTCTATTTTTTTTTTTTTGATTGTTTTACTTATTCTTCGTTTTATTATTATTTTATTCTTTGTTTAATTTGCCACAATTCCGGTAGTCCCGTTTCACTATAGTCTATTCAATAGCAGCCGATTACATAATACGGTTCTTAATAATAAGGTTGTCAGTGAAGCAGACTATCAGTGAAATAGGGCTGGATATTGGTATTGAATTTCACTCTTTGATTTATTATGATACAGTAGTCTATTGGATCTAGATTTAAAAAAAATTTTTTTTTAAAAAATATTAGGTGGATGTTGGAGCAAGTCGAAGCAGGTAATCTCATTCAGGATTTGAAAATGAATGTTTTACAAGCAATTTTGTATATTATAAAGGGTTGGGGGGAGGTTTCGGCTATAACCATACATAATTGCTAGCATCATACAAAAATTCTCCTATCTAGTGCAAATCTTTCAGATAATCTTTGTGAAGCTGGTGATTCAAGGCTTGAAGGTCTTATTAGGTCACTGGATACTCTCTGTCTTCCAAATGCAATGGAAATTGATGAATTCTTAAATTTTAATAGTGAAGAGATTGTTTACGAAGTCTCCCCGGAGGATCAAATCATTAAGGAGCTGGCTTATGTGTTTAGAAATGATGAAAGTGTTGAAGTTATGGATAAAGGAAATACTAAGGTAATAGATGAAGAGGAAGACAATAGTGTAGAACTTGCAATTGTTAGTAGTAGCTTGGTGTTGAATAGCTTAAAAAATGTTCAGATGTTTTTACTTCAGCAGGAAGGCTCAGGTGATCAATTAAAATCAATTTAATTTTCTTGAGAAATTTATTAAGAGAATGATATCAAGTTCTGCTCAGCAAACTCACATAGATGAATATTTTAAGATATAAGGATTGAATGGATTTATTTTAATAAATTGAAGAAATAGGTAAAGGAAAATCTTCTGTATTTTCTGCAACTTAATGTATGTAAAAAATTGATGGTAATAATTGTAATTATGAACAACTCAGCAGTATCGCAACAACATTGCGAGCCGGCAAATTATTTATAAAAATTAAATAACATTCGGTGTTTTTTTTATTAAATTTACTTTTTTTTTCTTTTTTTTTTTAAAAAAAAAACATTTAAAAAAATTTCTAAGAATTGTTTTTTAAAAAAAAATGTAAAATTTTTTTTTTATTTTTTAAGTTTATAAAAAATTTGATTAAACTAGGTCTTATTACGCTAGGCCTGTATTTGTAATTATTTTTACTTTCCAGGCATATTAAAAAAATTATACAATGGAATACATGCATTCATTCTATATTTTTCATGCAAGTTGCATAAATAATTTGTACATTCAGCAGATAAATGACGTATTTGAGCAACTTTAAACCTTATCTGCTTTAAAAAGTTTATAAATTTCATATGCGTATGCTCCTGATTTTAGAATTTCAAACCATAAAAAAAATTTTTAAACTCCCATTTATTTTCGAAATAAGTTATAGCTATTTTCATCTGGAATACTTGAAAAAAATTAACTAAATGATTTTTTGGCCGATTTGATTATGTTTATGATTCGGCATGATCAGATATTTATATATTAAATATTAATATACTTTTTAAAGTATCATATTTCTGAGATATGTATGCACGTACAGTAAAATATGCTGAAATCACAAAATTAATCAAATCGGCTGAAAAATCATTCTGCTAATTTTTTCAAGTCTCAGGATTAGTACGAGTTTCTGATCGGATGATCATAAATTTGTGTAATATAAACCCGTAATTCCCTAAGTGCATACCCTCTCTAAATGCACGTTTATGGTCAGTCCTCGGGGCGTGCACTTAGGGAGGTCTAACTATACTATTATTGTGGAAATAAAGAACATTTTATTAGAGAGTGCCATATTAGAAAAGAAAATAAAAATAAAAGCTCTTGTGCCTATTCCCATGATCAATATTGCTCTTTGTTATCAAGAAATCATTAACCAATCTCGATCTAGAGATAGAAACAGATCCAGAGACCAAACTCCTAGTCATTCTAAATATGATTGATCTAGAAGTCGAAGCCAATCTCAAAATAGATCAAGAAATAATAGGGACTATTGTTCTTATAACCAATCCAAAAACCATTCTTCTACTTCTTACCCTCGAGATGTTTATACCATTAATACTGCTAATAATTATACTTTTTTTTTTTTTTTTTTTAATATTAAGGTAACCACTTAGGCCCTCGGCACTTGGCTTTATTTAGATAAATATGATATTACATCAATTTTCACGAGGATACAACTAGCCACACGTATACTTTTAGTACCTAATTTAAGCAGTCTGCCTGTGTTCTACACTAGCTGCCATACCTGCAACCTAACTAGGAGATTACCTATTTAAGCTCTCTGATTATTAACTAACAAGA